GTCACCCCCTCACACCCCAGTGCTTACTGGGAGGGCTGTAGGAGTCTGAGCTGGGCTGTAGTGGCACAACCCTTCCCAGGTTCCAGGGAATGCTCTGGGCAAAGACATAGGCATCCTCCTCGATGTACTTCACGTGTGGCAGCTTCAGCACCTGCAGGGAGGAAACACATTGCCCAGCGTGGCGGCAAAGCTCCTGTTCACCCTGAGGTGGGAAATGCATCCCTCCACCAGTGCCCACCCTGCTGCTACCCTGCGCCACGACCTTGTCCTCCGTCCCACATACCATATCCAGGACGTCGCTGCTCATCCTCACCAGGAAGGCGGGCAGGAGGTGGAAGACGTGCAGCAGCTCGGTCATGTGTCCCCGCCGAGCCGCCCGGGCCCGCAGACGTCGCGCCGTGCCCCGCACCTCGGCCCCGCTGCTGCCCGCCCGCAACACCACCACGTAGCGCCCGGGCAGCCGCCACGACGCCTGCGGGGACACGAGCACCGGGCTGGGGCTTGGGACACACACACAGACGCACACACACAGACGCGTGGCTGTCCCCGCACCCCAGCCTCCTCACCTTGGCGGCGCGATGGAAAGCGGCGGGTCCCGGAGGGGCGGCCTCGAGGCGGCTGCCCCCTCCTCTGCCGCCCCCAGCGCCAGCCCCAGCTCCTCCGCTAGCGCCAGCACCAGCACCAGCACCAGTCCCCGTGGGGACATCCCGCACCCGCACCCCGACGGGCAGAGCCTGGGGCCGCCGCGACCCTCAGCGCCGGGGGGAGATGCTGCGCGACCTCCGAGGGGCCGGAACGAACCCGCGGAGCCGAGGGGCCGGAGCGGGGCCGAAGGGCCGGAGCGGGGCAGTGGGGTCGGAGCGCACCGCGGAGCCGAGACCCGGAGCCGATGTCCCGGAGCGCAGCGGCGGCCGCGGCTCTGCCCGTCGCGGCGGGGGCTCAGCTCGGCGGGGCGGCGATCACGGCACGGCCGCCGGCCCCAGCTGCCCACCCGGGCGCGTTAACCATTAAAGGGGCCGTGGGAGGGGGTGCGGGGCGCTGGGTCACGGCGCAGGGGCGCGGGGAAAGGGGCGGGGGGGGACGCTGCTCACCCCGAGTACCGGCACATCGCTGGGGGCTCTGGCGAGCAAAGCGCAGCCGCTCAAGTCCTGATTTCAGAAAGGGCTGAACGCTTTAATGTGCCTCCTACTGCTTCTCTCCGGGGGATAAATTCCCATGAAAACCTCTAATCCTGTTTGGGCATTTTTTACAGAGTCGTCACACATCGCAAATATCCTTTTTGCGGGATGCGGTCGGTGCTTTCCCGTGGCTCCCCCGTCTGCTTCCCACCTCTGCCCTTCCACAGCACCAGGCTCCCACACTGCCCCACATCCCCGGTGACCTTCGGCAAACCCCATCCCTGCTCCCAGCTTTTCAGGAGAATAGGGATATATTTATTTTCGATTGGTTATTTATAAGCTTCTCAGACTTGCATGTTTATAAGAATGTACATGTTTTATATGGATGTAATGTTTCATATGGATGTGTACAGTTTATATGATTTCTTACTGAGACCTCAGGTGGGTGCCTTCACCATGGTTTGGGTAACTGGGGGGGAGACCAGAGCCCACTTGTCACCCACTTTCTCCCACAGCAAGATGACATTGGAAGAATCAGTGTCCAGGACACTGATCATGGGGAGAAGTCTCACTCCTAATTTTTGGCTCTGCTTCATCAGTGTCGCTAAGTCCCACAATACATCACTGGTGCCTCAGGACACTTTCAGGGCAACTGAGAACCGGGGCACTCCATCTCAAGGGGGACAGTCTCCCTCTCACTGCAGTCGCCCCCTTCCTTTTTGCACAGGGGACAAGCTGTGTCCCAGGGAAGGAGGGAAGGAGCCCAAATAACAGGAGGTGGCAAAGGCCCTCCAGCCTCATGCACACCCCAGTGTGCTGAGAAACCCAGGGAGAGCTCAGCATGAACATCCAGCCCCAGAACTGGACTGGGAGTGTGAGAGATGCCCAGCTCTGGAGCTCTCTCCAGGAGTAGATATCTGTAGAAAGATTATTTATTTAATTGAAAAAAAATATTCAGAAATAGCCCAAAACTTGCACCTTGTAGAGAAGAGATCTGATTCAGCCCTGGCACCCAGGGGTGCTTCCAGCAGCAATTCCTCCTGCTGCTGAGAGCAGCGGGGCCACCGGCTGTGTCCATGTAAAGAGGAGGGCTCCTGTTCGGGGGGAGGAAAAAGAGAGAAGGTATCAGAGAGGACCCCAGCAAGGGGGAAGGACCTGTAAATCCTTGTTGTGCTCCATTCCTGGAGAGCCGTAGGCTTGAGGCGGTGCAGGCAGGGGCTGGGTGATGGTGGGCCGGGCTCCCTCGCATCCCGTTGGCAGAAAAAAGACACAGCACTTTCCCCAGGCATATGAGAGAACTCAGAGGAACTTGTGATTCCTCTCTCCTGGAGTGCCGTAAGTTCAGAGAAAACTCTCGTGTCGGTTGCACCAGCCGGGAATCGAACCCGGGTCGCAAGAATGGGAATCTTGCATGATACCACTACACCACTGGTGCGCTGCTGTCAGAGCGCCCCGCGGGCCCTGAAGGGCGCGGGCACCGCCCCGCCCCGCGTGTCTGCGTGGGCAGCAGCGCCAGCCCCTTCCTCTCCCCCATCGGCTCCCCGCCGCGGGGTCCCTGCTGGTGGGTGACACGCGTGGGCTGCAGGCGGGTGGTGATTCCACCCACCCCCACCCCCAGCAGCCGGGCCGCTCACTTAATGCCATGCAGGAATGTCCCGATTCCCACAATGTTTAACCTCAGCCGGCGCAGGAGCCGAGTCCTTCGGCTCGAGGATGCTGCGCCAGGGATGGGGGGACTCATCTAGCTGCGCAAAGGGTCCCGTGGGAGGGAGGGTCCAAGCCCCGTGTCAGCCCCCTCCCCTGCCCCTCCCGGAAGAAAGGCTTTGGGAAGGTAACTTTCTTTTGCCAAAAGCTGTAGTGAGTGCCAGGACAAGAGATAGGACACCTCTCCCGTGAGGAAAGGCTGAGAGGGCTGGGGGTGATCAGCCTGGAGAAGGCTCCAGGAAGACCTTAGAGCCCTTTCCAGCAGAGGGGGTACAGGAGAGCCAGAGAGACATTTCTGACAAGGGCGTGTAGTGATAGGACAAGGGGGAATGGCTTCAAACTGAAAGAGGGCAGGTTTAGATTTGATATTAGGGAGAAATTCTTTACTGTGAAGGTGGTGAGGCACTGACACAGGTTTCCCAGAGAAGCTGTGGCTGCCCCATCCCTGGAAACACTCGAGGCCAGATTGGGTGGGGCTTGGAGTAACAGGTCTGGTGGAAGGTGTCCCTGCCCCGCTGGACTAGATGGTCTTTAAAGGTTCCTCCCAACCCAAACTATTCTATGCTTTTAGAGGTAAAAGCTTTCAGGTCTCTACCAGGCTCCCATGCTCCATAGGAGCCAGTGACAGAGAGTGACATCCTGCCCCAGATACCCCCTGAAACTCAGTGAGACATGGCCTCATTCAAACAGCGTCCCTGCAGCTGACACACACCCCCTCCACCGGGAAGGACAGGTGGGAGTATGTGTAACCAATTTGTTACTGCTTCCTCCCAGACAGCTGCTCTCACTCCTGTGGCAATGTTTAGCCAACACTGGAGCCTCGTTCCCCACCCTCCTGTTGCCTGTAAATACCCTGAGTGCGTAGGTGCTCTGTGCCCTTCTCCCTTGCTGCTTTGGTGATGCCAAGGTGAGTGAGGGGTGCAGCAACACCAGGAGGGGTGTCACAGGGGCCTGAAGCCCCAGGTAGAGCTGCTTCTGGACTGTACCAGCAAAGAACTCCCTGATCAGCAGGGGAGCACAGGGAGCATCCTTCCAGGGCTCTCATGCTTCATCCTCCTTGGGTGATGGAGGACAACTTTCCCCACATTTTTGGGCTTGGCTGATTGGAACTAGATGATTTTTGAGCTTCCAACCCAAACCATTCTGTGATACTACAAAATCTGAAGAAGAGCTGCTGTGCCAGCAGATGTGCTCCCAAGCCTCCTGGGACCATGCCACGCACAGGCAGCATCCAGCTCAGCTTTCCCAAAACAGGGCAAGGGACTCTCAGAATCCCCACACTGTTGGATCTGCTGGTGGTTTGATCCAAACCCAGCTGCCCTGGGGAGGCTCAGCCACACAGATCCCCACGGTCCCAAGCAGACAAAGGACCACGGCTCCCATCAGCGCTGCCATCTCTTCATGGAACAAGCAGTCTGTTGGGAGCTGCTGTGTCACCTCTGTCATAGTGACAAACCAGGCTTAGATCCACCAACATAGTTGGAAACAAATACTTATTATTCAGAGAGAGTTTGGAGACAGTGCGTGCCAGTGTGCAAACCCACCCACTGATGCTGACCCAGTGGAGATGCCAAAGGAACCATCTCAAGTGCCATCACCAGGGTTTTGGCTCAGCTGAGTCCTCCTCCCTCTGCTCTCCACGGCACTGGAAGCTGGTCCTTGTGCCAAAGATGAAGGACAGCACAGTCTGTCGCCTCCACCACCCCTCTCCCAACTGCTGCAGGAGTCTCAGGATCTAATTTTAGTTTCAGGGGAGCTTGGATAAGTGGAAAAATGACTGAGAACATCTCTGCCTTGTAAAGCCCACATGGGGTGACCCCATCTTTACCTACCTAATGTGATCCTGTTCCAAGCAGCAGAACTAATCCTCTACCTTCCCAAGCACAGTATTTCTCCCAGATCCTGCCTAGCCCAGCTTCTCTGTGCCCATCCAAAGGGCTCCAGAGAGGGGGGCCTTGTCCCATATGCTTGGAATTCAGGAGGCAACAGTCCCCCATTTGAGTTTTGGGGGAATGAAAGCTTCCAGAAAGGCTGGGTATGTTCAAGGGGTGCAGAAGCCTGGAGGTCCTTCTGTGCTGCAGGCACTGCACTTTCAGGGGCATCCCCTTTCCTCCAGGCTGTGACGTTTGCATCCACTCCATGAGAAGTCTGTGCCAAGTGGTCATTTTCTCAGTGAAATCAGTTTTCAGGCTCAAAAAGGCAGTCGCTGTCCTTGAGCAGAGCATCTGGCTCCTCTTGGAGCCCATAATAAAGGTCATCCTGCTCCCCAGTGCCTTTGCGGGGGGATCTGGAGCGCTGTCCCCTCACTGGGGAGCTGGTTGGGGTGCAGCTGGAGTGACCAGAGGATGGCAGGGTCCGGCTCTGTGGCGTGGGGGTCCCGGGCATGGAGCCCTCCAGCGATGGCGTGTCCATCTCGTCTAGGAGGGATGCCAGTGGCGCATCCCCAGGGGCCGGATGAGGAGGGCTGTGGGGACAGGGAGGGCTGATGAATGTTGTGTGAGTTAAACCAAACACAGCTGGGGTTTCCCTTGGAGCTGGTGGCTGCTGGAGCATTGCTCAGCCGGCATCCCAGCATCACCTGTTCCCTTTTCCTGGGTGGCTGGAGCACCCTAGGAGGGCCCTACCCTATCCCAGCCTCCTCATGCCTGCCTTTATAGGGACACCTGCCTGCCAGGTTCCTTCTGCCCACAGGACAAAGTGGTGGCTGCCCTTGCCTTTCCTGCATCCCAAGCGGAAAGCAGTGCACCCAACCCAGCTGCAGAGGCATCCAAGTCCTATGCCCTAAGCCTGCATGGTTCACTCCATCACTTGCAAATCCCTTTGGGACCTCCCAAACCAGTGCTTGGACATCATATGTGGTATCCAGTTTGAGGGTCAAGTACTGGACATCTCATTTCTACCAAAGTCTGACCAGAAACTTGGGGTTTATTCTGGTGAGGAAAGCTATTTGTATCGATAAAATTAAATTAAAGGAAAATTCAAATTACAATCAAAGCCCATCCTCATTTCCTCCTGGGAAATAATTTGGTATAGAGACTCCCTGTGGGTTGAGACACCGCCCAGGCTCCACAGGGGCTGGGTTTTCAGTGCTGTGTAACCCGCAAAGACCCCTCTGCCTTTTCTCCTTCCTCTTGAAGGACCTGGTCTGATCCCCCCCTATTTTTGCCCTGCATCCCACCAGTGCCACCCTGACCCCAAAAGCATCACATACCAGCTGCCTGCCGCTGTTTCCAGACGAGGTGCCAGGTCTTGTGGGGGGTCTCCAGCACCCCCCAGTTCCCGGTGGACCTCTGCTTTGGCCTGCACAGCTGACTGGGAGCAGCTGCGGGATCTGGGCTGTGCTGCAGGTGGCAGTGGGGTTGAGCCCACTGCCTGCCTCTGGATCTGCTCATAGGATGGCAGACTCTTCTCGTAGGTGCTGGTGGCGTCTTGGTTGGGGCAGGGAGCAATCAAGCTGTGGGCAAAGGAATGACAGTGTACTGAGCAGGACTGGGACCCCATGGAGCTGGAAGATCCTCGGGCACTTGCATGCAGGGCTCCATCAGTTGAAGGACTGGCTTTAGAGGCTACCAAGGCCACATCACTGCCCACACCAACAGCAGAGCCAATGGGTCCTTGAAGGGGATACCCTCAGGAACACAGCTGGATGCTTTGCATCCCCCATCATCACTCAGGCTCCAGCCCTGGGGTGGCTCAGACATCCTTTGCTTGCCCCACCCTGGCTCCCACTTGGCATTCTGTGCTGCGGTCAGTGCAGTTGTCCCCAGTCTCAAAAAGTGTCCTTGTCCCTAGGGCACACACATAATTCTGTGTACAGATTTTGGGACCCACCAGATGTCCTTCTGTGGCAGCACTGTGGGTTTGTAGTCCAGGAACCGCTCAGCCTCAGGGTCCACAGGAATGAACGTTATCTGGGGGGAAGAGGAAGGAAGAGCCCAGGTACTGTGCTGGGCACACTCGACCCTCCTTAGTGGTAAAAGGTCCAGAGTGTCCCTTCAGCTGGGTTTAGGTTCTTTTCCCACCACATTTGGATGTCTTGATTGGAAATGGGGTTTTTTTTGAGAAATCAATAATGGATAAATGAATCCAGCACAGCCCTTTTCCCCTGTGGAGTCACACATGCCCCCAAGCTCAGAGCAGGTCCCAGGGCCCACAGGGGGGTCAGTGGTCAGGGACAACACTGAGGGTGCCCTATTCTTGAGCCCCAAGCACAGCAGCAAAGCCACCCTCCTCGCTGGGGCTGAGCTCAGCTTTGGGGAAACTGGGGTCAGCTTCACCCCAGTCCCAGGAAACAAAACCAATTTCAGAGGTCCCAGCTGGTCCCAGGTCCTGAGGTCACCATGCCACATTTTGGAGGGTAGCCAAGTTGTTGACAGGCCATCCAGCACTGCCCAGATCAGTGCCATAGGCGCCCTCTCCTTTGGAAAAACCCTTTTCTGCCAGACCCGTTTCCCAGGGCAGGGACGCGTGGCTGCCCTCCGAGCTGGCAGTGCCCTCTGCCAAGGAGACTGGCAGGGGAGGGCTGAGCTCTGGGGGGCCGGGACCCTCCGATGTCCATGGCCTTGACAGTCCTTTCTTGGAAGTTCTGGGAGCCTGCCAAACCCCAGGCCCCAATGAAGGGACTAGTTTGGGAAGGGTTTGCATGGGAGAGATGAACACAAGTTTATTTCCTTGGGATTATTCCCTGCTGCCTGCTTGGAAGCAAAGCACCGGGCTCCAGGGTTGGAAGGGTGAAGGAGTACAGGGGGGAAAGAAACAAGGGGCTATATCCTGCAGTCATCAGCAGCCCATGAGCATCCCAAACCAGCAATTCCTTTTCCAGATTACTTCAGCTGGCTTTCCCTGGTAATCTGCTGCTACCTCACCCCATAGATGAGGAAGTTGAGATGTAGCCCAAGACTACACATCCACAGCAGCTGAAGCCCCCCAAACCCAGCTGAGCCCCCAAGCCCCACAAAGCACTCAGCAGTAGGATGGATCCTACCTTTGGGTAGCACTGGCACATGCTCCAGGTGATGCCCACGGCTATGAGCAGCACACCCAGGACGCAGAAGGTGATATAGATGTGGGGCTTTTCCACACTCATGATGAAAATTCCCGTCATCACCAGGAAGAAACCCAAGATGATGAACCCGTAACGGAAGGTCTTCTCCTCCGCCATGGGCTCTGGGTGGGAGAGGCAGGAAGGAGAGATGCCAGGGAGCCCGTTTACTGCCGCTGCCGCCCACTGAGCACACCTGCGGCAAGGAGTGGTTTCTCTTTCCAGACGCTGCCAGGAGCTGAGGATCAGCTGCACGCTGAGCTTGGTCCTGCCCAGGGCTGAGCCAGCCAGTTTTTAATGGGTTTGTAATGAATGCAAACACTGACCCGCGGTTCACACTCCAGTGAGGCCGCCCTGCACGTGTCCGCGTAACCTTCCCTGAGGGCACCCCATGCCTGGGGAAGGGACAGGGAGGGTGAGGGGGCCAATGGCAGCAGACACAGGAACCTGGAGAGTGGCTGATCCTGTTGGGATTTTCCCAGCCCTGGGCACTGAAGCTGGAGTTGGCCATAAACTGGAGCTGGCAGAGCCCCAAATAAGGGGCATATCAGGATGCAGCACGTTCTCAAGGGCTGCGAGGCTGCAACAGGGAAGTAGGGAGTGCTCCAGGGTCTTTCTGGAGGCCCATGGGTTTGGAACATCCCTTGTCTTTCTCCAGGTGAGTGCTAAGGCTGCTTCGTGGGGCAGCAGGTGGGCTGCAAAGGGGGGACTAAAGCCAGGGAAGAATGCAGTGGGGTTGGTCTCTCCAGGGGCAGTGAGGACAGAATTCCCCTGTGCCCTGTGTTCGCTTAAGTTGGAGATGAAGTGTTAAAAGGTGTCCCCTTCCCAAAACATATCCAACAGCCAGACAGTGTTGGTGGTTTTAATTAACCTTCATTTTATTCCCTTACTTTTCGGTACGTGTGGGAGCACATACAAATAATATGCTATAAACAATATGTTATATGTGGCTATGGCTCCAAAGCCACTCTGCAGCTCTGCAGGTCTGCAGGGAGCCCAGGGCAGCCTGTTCTTTTGGTGGGATGGAGGAACTGGCAGTGGCCCCCACAGCCGCTGGCCTTTCCTCTGGGCAAGGCTGCAAACCCACCCATGGTGTGCAGGGAGGGGGCTGTGTGCTCAGGATGGCTCTTTAAAGGATGCTGCCTGAAATGCCAAGTGCACTTGGATGCCCTGACCACACACACGAGCCACTGAGCATCTCTACACTACATGAAGTGAGGCGTGGGAAGTCAGTACATTGGGAAGCAAGGTGGAAGGGATGGAGGTAGGGCTGGAAGGGGCATTGCAAAGGCAGAGGAGCAAATGGGGCGGCACAGAGCTGGGTTTTCTCTGGCCGGGTTCCTCCTTCTCTGCTGCAGGTTTTATTATTGAGTGGGCAGCCCCCTGCCTGACAGGAGCTCCCTAGGGTGGGTCAGAGCAGAGAACACAAAGTATCTGCAACCAACAGTGGTTTTATTAAAAATACAAAGGCTTTCAAACATGCCAGTTACTCCCAATGCTTCGAACTCATCACCCACAGGACTCACAATCCCAACAGCCCTGGACTGATAGCTCAGAAAGCACCGGTTGACCCTTTCCCCTCCTTGCCCACCCTCCTCTCCTCCCCACAAAGGAAGGGGCTCAGTTTAAAACTGAGGGACTGGGCAGCCACCCATAGAGTCACGGCCCGTGCTGACCCCAGCTCAGACCCCTCGGACACTGATGTTTTCATAGCTGGGGGGAGGTGTTGCCTGCGGCTCCTCGGGGTGAAGGGTCTCCAGCCAGGATGGGCTGGGGCGGAACAAGGCGCTGTCAGAGGAGCTGCGCCGGCGGCCGCCCTGCCAGCTCTCATCCTCCTCCAGGTAGCGGTACAGGGGTGGTGTGAGCTCCTCCTTCCTCCCCGGGGGCTGGACATAGGCCAGGGCACCATGGGCGGGTCTGCAGGTCAGGGCTTCTTCATAGGTGGGGATGGCACTGGCATCCCAGTTGCTGCATGGAAAGAAGAAACCCAGCAGCACACACACATCATCCAGAGCATCCCAGCATCCAATAGGAGCATCCCAGCACTCAACCTGAGCATCCCAGCAGCCATCAACCAGAGCATCCCAGCACCGAATAACTGGACCACCCCAGCACTTGTCAATTGGAGTATCCCTGTGCCCTGTCAACCAGAGCCATCCCAGTGTCCCATCAACTGGAGCATCCCAACACCCACCAACCAGAGCATCCTAGTGCCCATCAATTGCAGCATCCAAACACCCTTTCAACCCCATCTAAGCGTAATGGACATATATGCACATCAGCAGGTTTTGCATGCCCAGGATCAAGGGCTCCAAGATGGGGAGCCATGCAGGAGGAAGTTCCCCAGTCACAGAGGCTGCCAGCAGCTAAGGGAGCAATTTGGTACAAGTGTCTGGGCAAGGGGCAGCCATCCCTGGTTCAATGCAGTCAAACCGCACTCTTGTGCCTGCCATGCACCATCCAAGCCTGGTGTCACTTCCAGCAGTCCTTTGATGAGCAAACACAGTTTGTGTACAGGGAAAACCTTTGGACAACCTTTGCCCTGTGCATGGTCCTGCTTGGCACCCTATGGAACTGTGCAGCCCAAAGTCAGGGAGGCTGTGAAAGCAACTCATCGTTGCAGATAAAACCCAGCACAGTGCACTGGGGAGGTGGTGGGAATTGCAGAGCACAGCTGGTCCAAAGGAAAAGCTGCAATGTTCCACAGGGATTCCTCCATCCTGAACTCTTCACAGCTCCCTGTCCCAGACAGACCACCCTGGGCTTCTGCACTGGCAGTCTTGACAAACAGCCTCAGTTTGCATGGGGATGTTGCCTTGGAAATGCAAAGAGGGGGATTTATCCCAGTACAGCATGCTTTGCTGGGGCTAGAGAGCTGTCACAGCACCAACAGCGCCAGGGCACTGTGTCCCATCCAGCAGGGGAGCTGGGAGCTCAGGGAAAGGGACATTCCCTATAGGGGCACAGCAAAGCTCTCCACGGGAGGTGGAACCTCTCCCCAGAGTACCCAGACTGGATCACGATCTCACAGATACTCAGAGGGGCACTGAAACCCCAGGAGAACCAGGAACGTGCCTCCCACTCCAAGTGAAATTTTATGGTTTAATGTTCTTAAGAGTTTCTTTTAGTGCTGCTTTTCCCCAGAGCCTGATTTATGCTGGAGCCAAGATCTTTGCTGTGACCCCATAAAACAGCACTGGGAAGGGCCGGCTGGCTCCGTTTCCACTGCAGTCTCTGGGAAAAAAAAACTTTTGAGAAAAAACTTTTAAATCAAGAAGTGATCTTCACACTGGAAGAGTCTGGTCTCAAAAAGCAGCAGTGGTGTTCAGGGTGAGGGGCCTTTCTAAACCCCAAAACGGGCTTCGTAGAAGGACCCTCTAACAACACTCTTGATGATGTTTCAAGAATTATTTTTCTTATTTTTTTTCTTTTAAGTCCCTTTTAACATAGATTTGGCTTCCATTAAAGATGGCATAAACACCCTCGTCTTTATAGAGCACTGCAGATCTGAGAGACTAGGGCAGGATTCAACAGCTGGAGGTCTGGGTGACCTCCCTACCCCCAAATTCAAACCTTCTGCCAAAAAACCAATGGAGTCTTCTGCCTGGTGGATCTGCTAAGGAGATGTTGCCTCCCTCTGTGATGGCCCTGCAGGGCAAGGAGAGCTGGATGCAGCCAAGCTGGCCGCGGGTGCAGCCAGCGTGGGCAGACAGGAGCTGGCAGAAAGGGGAGTGTGGGGGCTCAGGTTGATACTAATGAGCAAGAACATCTGCTCAGGAGCAGGAGGAGAGCACAGAGCGGGGTCTGAGCAGTGGCTGGCGGTGTGGATGCATTGTTGCTCCTTTAAGATTCATCAGCAAGCCAGTCTGGGAGCAGGCTCAGGCACACGGGACAGTCAAATCCACCCTCCACTTCTGTCCACCCAAGCACCGCACAGGGACGTGGCACCCACCTGCAGTTCCACTTCTCCAGAGGCTCCGCGGTGAAGTACTGCAGGTCCCTGGGGAAATGGTACTGGTAGCGGCGGGAGACCACCCTGGTGTTGGCTTTCACGGACCAGAGGAGGCCGAAGAGGAGGAGGATGCCACCGATACCGCAGCAGAAGAAGCTGACGGAGCGGAGCAGGGCGCTGGAGGAGGAGGAGCTGGGAACTGCCTCGGCTTCCCGGGGAGGCAGGAGGCGAGTCCCGCTGCTGCCTCCCGATGAGCCGACCTCCCCGTCACTCCACCAGGCAAAGCACAGCGTCCCCGTCACCAGCAGCACAGCCCCGGTGATGGTCAGGCCATAGCGGAACGAGGCAGCTGCCATCCTTCAGAATGAGGTTTTAGGAGGGAAGAAGAGCGAGACAAGGCATGAGAGAGCCCACGTCCTGCAAGACAAAAAGAGGGCCAGGTTTGAGCAGAACAAGGTCGTGGAAGACCTGCCAGAGGAGAAAATGACTGAACTAGGACTTCTCCGGGGAGTATAGCCTCTTTAGCTACTTACTACTGACCATCAGAAAGGGCATTTACACCACCTCAGATGAGAAGCCCTTGGTCAGAGCAAAGCCAGTGCAGTTTGAACAACTAAACTTCCCAACAGCCCCGTAAAAACATCCTCAGTTTCAAGAAACAACAGCGTTCCCATGGAGGCAGGATGGGAACCCCAGCCAGGGTAGTTCCAGGGGCTTTCATAGCTCTTGTCTTTGTGGTTTATTCCAGATTTACTCCCCAGCTTGGCAGAATGCCAGCCAGGTTTCTGATCAAAGCACAGTTTATGGAAGAGGTTACGGTCAGTTCCAGTGCACACCTTCTCAGGTCCCCATCAAGATCAATCCCACAAGTGTTATTAATACCTTCATCCTCCCTATCACGGTGGTTTCTTCCAGCGGGGTGGCCCTTCTCAGCTAAATGTCACATGCACAGAACAACCATGCTTCCCTGGTGCTGGAAAATGTGGGGAGGGAGACCTGGTTTCTGATCTCTGTGGGGCTCTCATTCCCCATTGCTTTTTCCAGCAACAGAGAGCATTTACTCCCTGGGCTTGGGAATCCTCTGCTCCCCACCAACCAATGAACCAGGGAGGCAGAGAGGTCCCATCACATCCTCTCTGGCCCTGCTCAGTGCCCAGTAAGAAGATTCAGGTTCAGCTCCTATTTCTTGAAGGATAAAAAGCTTTGGACCATGTAGGAATTAAGCACCAACACCCCCAGACAGATTCAGTCCTGAGTAACTCTACTGTGAGGGTTTCTCTTGGTGGCAGTGCCAGTGGAGAGGCTGCACAGCCAGGATGGAATTGGGGCTCAAGCACAGAGGTGGATGGACAGATGGATGATCCACACTCAGCTGTCACCTCTGCACTCATCACTTTGCCTGTATGTCAGTAACAAAATGTGGTGGCTTCGGTCTCCATTACTCCAGACAGGGCTCACCTCCAAGAGTGGGGACCTGAATTGTACTCTGAGATCTGGAGGTGCTGAGCCAGAGCTAGGCAGGGAGCAGAAGTCCAGCATGGACTTGTAGTGATCAAGGTCAGGTGGAATCATGTTATTTCAAGCCATTATTTATCAGATGGGCCCACTAAATGGAAAGTCAAATTACTTTGTAGTGAAAGAAACACTATCTGATCTAATCTATGTTTAATGAAGGAATTGGATGAGAAATGTGATTTGGGAAGCCTGCATGAAAGCAGCACACTCCAGCTCTTGTCCCAGGGTCACGAGCCCAAATTGCCATCCAGGCAGCTGCAGTCACCTACTAGGAATGAGGTCATGTTCCTGAGGTGGGAGAAGGCAGAGCTTCCATCCATGACAGGGGTACATGTTGGGATGATCCCTCCTGAGTGGCAGGGGCTTGGCTGAGCTGAGACAGAGCAGGGACTGTTGAAGATGGTATTAGATGCTATTAAGGGTCAGCATCCCCACCCCATGACTGAACACAAGCAGGACACAACAGAAGAACTGGACTCATGTTGCCTTGCAGCAGGAGATGCTCAAAGGAGCGCAAGAACACTACTGACCCGTGAATGCAGCTCCTTTGGAGAGCAACGCATTTTCATGGAAAAATTTCAGCCAATATTATTTAAGGAAAAAAAATATAACCCAAAAAACCCTACAGCAAACCTCCCAACTCAATTGCTTGGAAATGTCAGGTCGCTCCAAACTGAAAGCCTGGATTGAACCAGCACCAAGAGTTGAAATATTCAGCTTCTACAACTCTTCTCATTTTGGGGTCAGACTGGTGAGGTCTGGGAGACGCTGTGAGTTCCCTGGAGAGGTTTGGGAGATGCTGTGATTCCCCCGCCTGGGCATGGGGAATTTTGCAGCCTGCGGCACTGTGCACATCTGGGAATGCTGGCAGCAAGGGGGAGGCGGAGGGAAGGCGCAGAGCCTCTGGGAGGTGATGGATTGACAGCTCAAGAGAATAAACTCTTCTCCCTTGACAAAACCAGCACAGCTCGGGGAGCAGCGCTGAAAGCTCCTCCAGCCTACCCGCACGTGCTCCCGCAACGCGTGTGTGGGAGCAGCTCCTCGGAGCTGGGCGGCACTACCATCACTGGGTGACATTGCCATCATGCCATCCCCTTGCCAAACCCCCTTTTGGGTTTCCACAGCTCTCCTGAGCCCCTCTAAAAGGCCCATGATGTTTTCTTAGCACACCAACCTCTGGAAGAAGAGCCCGAAGGAGCAAGGCCTGGGCAGGACCTGAGTCCCTGATCCCCGAGCCTCTTCTGGCTCCACTCCCTGAGCACTCAGCATCCTGCACAGCACATCTCCTGGTGAGCATTCCCAGCACGTTTCCACAGAGGGGCTGCCCCTCCAAGGAGGCAACTGTCGGCTCCCCAGCACCGGTCTCCACCCACCGAGCCACCCTGACATTTTGTTCTGCACTGTCTCCTCCTTTGACCTGCTCTGAAATAGTTTTCCAGGGAATAGATTTGCACGTTGCATGTACAAACAGATATGAATGTTGATAGTTTACATAGTTCCACTGAGATGCTGAGAATAGCAGCCCCCATATAAAGTTATGCAGATGGTGATTCACAGGGTCTACTAAGCATTACTCAGAAAAACGCTCTTTTCTAACAACATGAGAGAAGAAAAGAGTTTTGAACCTCTCCCACCGCTACCAAGTAGAAATCCGCCTCCACACCCGTCCCTCCACGGCACTTACGGACTGTCCTTCCACGCGGAGCTGGAGACCTTTAGTCACGGATGAGGAGCGCCGGGAAGAGATGTGCCAAAGAGTGAGCATGTCATTAGGGAGATCCCTTCCTGCCTCTATCCAAATTTCCTTCTTTTTTTTTTTTTTTTTTTTTTTTTTTTGTTATTGCTGTTAGTGAGGGTTTGATCTCCATCCAAAGCAAAGTAACACTGATGCTTTGGAAGAGCATCCGAGAAATCTGGTGTGCTCAGCCGCCCGAGGCATGTTCGGACAGAGGGAAGCACTTGCCTCCCCCCCGCCCTGTGTCCCCTACCAGGCTTTGGGGCGAAGCCCGAGCATCGTTCCCTCTGAAGTGGTCGGTCCCGGAGGCACCCCCAGGGGTCTCTTCCCGCCGCGGTCGGTGCCCGCACCTCCTCTCCCCGGCGGCACAGTGCCCAGCCGGGAGTGCCAAGTCCCCCCAGTCCCCCGCCCCGAGCCGTACTCACCGCCGCACCAGCCCCGCTCCGGCCGAGCGGCGGCTCCGCCGAGCGCGGCCCGCGGGGCGGGCGGGGCCGGGGGCGGGCGGGGGCGGTGGCGGCTCGGGGCGGGCAGGGACCGGCGCTCCCTCCCGGCACGGCACGGCACGGCCCGGCCCGGAGGGACGGGCAGTCCCGGCTCCCCTCAGCGCCGTCCCGCTCCCGTCCCGTCCTATCCTGTCCTATCCCGTCCCATCCCGTCCCGTCGGTGCGCGGCGCTCCCGAGAGCTTCGGATTTCCCCTGTGGCTGGGACACCCTCCTGCCCTGTGGAAGGCACTGCCCCACGGGCGGGACATCACTGTTCTATGGGTGGGGGACCCACGCTGCAGCACAGGAGGATCTTTGCCACGAGCTTGCTTTGTCACCACTTTAGTTCTCCTCACCTCTCTGTCAAATACCAGTATTGCCCCTTTACCCCGTTCATGGAATGGTTTGAGTTGGGCGGGACCTTTAAAGAAGATCTAGTTCAACGTCCCTGCAATGTCCAGGGATTCTTTCAATTAAATCAGGCTGCTCATAGCCCTATCCCACGTGGCCTTGAATTTTTCGGGGATGGGGCATCCATCACCTCTCTGGTCAACCTGCCAGTGTTTCACCAACTTCACTGTAAAAAAATTTCGTCCTTATATCTAATCTACATAAACCCTCTTTAGTTTAAAACTGTTACCCTGCAGCACTCATGAGGACACCCGAATATTAAACAAGCTGAGGGTGCTCTGATCTGAATTTCAGGATGGTTGGTATGACAGCATCTGGATTCACAGACAATTCCCCATCACAGAGCTGGAGGGAGATTTGATCAAGACCTGCCATGCCGTGCTGTACTATGAATGTGTATCTCACAGATCCATCACGCTGCTCTTGGGCTGCAGCTGAGCATTGCTGACAGCCAAAGCCATTTCTATGGATACCCTTGGCTGCTTGCAGCTCCTCACCTCACCAGCTCAAAACCAGTGCAGGGTTTACCCCACAGACTGCAGGGACTGATGCAAAACCCTGTTGTGGAATTCATAACAGCTTCGTACATACTTAGAAGCCACTCAGCCCAGCTGAGAAAATGTGGCTGTACAGATCTATTTACCTGCAGACACTGCGGAGTTTTACAAATGGTAAACTGAGGCACGAGGGGGGCTGGTTCTCACAGGGCTGGCCCTGCAGCAGGTTGGGTCTCCATCAGAGAGGTACATGGGACAGGGATCCCCAAGGCCAGCACCCCAGCGTGGCCTCAGCCCCAGGCTGGAGGCAGCAAGGTTCTCAAACCTCACAGTGCAATCCCTGACAATAAATTCCAGATATCCTCCAAATACCATGTGTTTCACTCCTTGGCAGGATGGAGTTTGTCCCCAGGATCCCAAAAATGAATATCTGGGTTTTTCTGTTGCAGACACGTCATTGCTGAGAGTTCACCTCACTACCCATGAATGATGTGGGCACTGTGAATCATCAGTTCCCCTGTTGAAGGACAATGAGGCACCTTCTTCTGCTCATTACCTGTTCAGATATTATATTTAACTGAAAATTGATTGTCAAAAAGCTTCTAAAGCACTTCAAGGTGGTGTTTGTGCATCGACTGTGCTATTCCCAGCACAGGACTGCAGAAAAGGAGGTGGCTCTGTGCAAGCACACTGGTCCTACAGCCCCATAACCATCTGCAACCTTCTGCCTTCCCTAGAGATCTGGCCTACAAGCAACCACTAACCCATGAGAAATATTTCACCACAACGTAGAGGTTGGAAGAGCTGAGTGGTGCCAGCACGTCTGTCTGCTTAGCAGCAACCTTGGTCAAACTACATTTTCCCTCTCCGAGAATGTTCCTGCTGGTGCACAAGGTGCTGCAATACCTCACAGGGCATGGTCAAAGGGCTTCTCCAGAATAAAGGCAGAATATCTAAGTGCAAAATAGGTAAAACATCCCATGCACGGTGAAACCGCAGTGGGGAAAACAAGGAGATATAAAAGACAGTTACAGCCTCTGCAAGAACAGGAACAAAGGAGGAACAGGGAAAGAGATTGTTCCAGTAATTGCCTCCCCCAGGTAAGGATGCTAAGCCTGAGCAACGCTGCTGGCACAAAAAAAGTGCTGCTTTTTGATTCACTGTTCACCTAATTTTGCTGCTGCAGCAAATCACATGTAAAATAGTGTATTCCAATGTGTAATCAGGATAAATAAGTCAGATTTTTCAATACTTCTGTGTGTGTGTGTGTGTGTGCGCACACACAGGTATGCACTATCTGACCTGTCACTACAAGCTGGTTGATACCAAGAGCACCGAGTCAAGAGTGAATTTGGATGCAACAAGTCCCAAGAAGATGAGCTCAGGGTCCCTGCCAGAGCCCTTATACCTGGGCCAGGTTGAAGGTCTCCATCAGTGATCTGGTACACAGGCCACTCTCTCTGTGCCCAGCTGCCTTCAGCAAGCACCTCTCGTCATGCACCCTGTGACAGGGTCACTAAAGAGTCACTGATGAGGCTTTATGGGACATGTCTCTGCAGACATGAGGTGCCCATCTTGTCCAGATCCAGAGAGAAGCCATTCCCAGGGGCTGGCACATCTTGTGTTTCCCTTAGCACAGGCCATAGGGCACAGCACAGGTGGGAGCAGCCATCACAGTGATAAAGAGTTGTGGCACATAGAGCCATGAGGATGGGCAGATGGGAAGGAGTTCCTGTACCCAGCACACGTAAAGCAAGGGAGAAACCTCCTGCTGTTTATCTTTGCCTTAATTTGCATCTTCTTAAAATGCCTAATTAGTTGTGCTATTTGATATACTGGCTCAGGCACTCCTTCCTAATCCAGTCAGCAAATCTAGGCTTTGAAAATATTTGTCCTACATCTTCACATGATGCAATGTTCACCGATGTCCTTTGGCTTGTTTGGGGTTGAACCTGCAACTAAATATAGATGTCTCTTTGGTAGTTCTGGTACATGGACAGGAGGGTTTGAGATTACTGCTTTGTGCTCTCCAGCAGGAAAAGCTGAGCATTTGGATGTGAAAGGGGATCATGCCTCTGACCACAAAGTGATTTTTCGCTTGTTCACCCAGAAGTACTCCTTCTCCATACAGCTATGCTTTTGCCCTGAGACTTTATTGAGTGCAGAAGCCCTTTTTGTGTATAATATATCTTATTATTTAGTTCCAAAGCTTTTACTGGGTTTGAATTATAACAGAAGAACAAGAGATGTGTAAAGTGGCTTAATATTAGTTTCTGAAGTGGTTTCTGCACTAGCTTTGTCCATTAGCTAGCAAACATCTGGATCCAAAACGTCTAGGTGTTTTAAAGTTTAAATGTTTGCTAACCTGACTAACAATATCCCAGCCAGTAGTCTGTAAAGCTGCACCGTGCTGAGGAACAGAACTGTGGTGAAAAGCCTCGGAAAGGGACTTGGAAAGTACCAGTAGCATCATCCACAGAGGGCTTTATGGACAAGCAATGTCCTCAAATTCCTTCTGTTCTTCATGCAGGACTTGTGTTAGTACAGGAGCACGAGGCTGAGGCACCACCTCCTCTTGGGGTTGTTGTGTAGATAAATGGGTATGATAAAGCTTTGGGTTTCCTGTAAAGGGACTTTCTGTGTTGCAAATGGGGACAGACAGAGCTTCCTAGGAGCTTTCCAACAAAATCTGCAAAGGATTTGAAATTCGCCTAACAAGGGGTTAGGGAAGGAAAGAGTTAAATCCTGATGCCCCAACTCAGTCTTTAGTCAGACAAAACTTCTCCTGAACTCCTGGAGATTTTTGCCTAAGGGAAGCCCCATGCCTGAGCTAGAGAAGTTAGGGAAGCTAGAGAAGCTAGGGAAGAGGCACCACAGCTGCAGCTGCTGCAGCTCTGATAGAGTGAGCTGCCATTTGGCTCTCGGTGAAGAAACATCGATTTCCAGCCCAGTCAAGCTTGATGCATCTATCACACCTGAGCAGAGAGAGCTATGGAAGACCTGAAAACCTTGCAAACCTTTTGTTGCAAGCATGACAATCTGGGGAGACATACAAGGTATGGCTGAGAGGAAGGAGCATCGTGAATGAACATTTTAAGGTCGCTTAAAGAATCAACTGCAAAGGTATCAGCAAAAGCAGATTAATTATGAAAAAGAAAGCACAACAAAGTTTGTTGGCAAGGTTCACTCTACTACTTACTAGATGGGTAAAGCACACCTAGAAAAAGCAAACAAATAATCCAGAGTCAGTCAATCCAAACCAAAATAAACTCAAAATTATCTATGTGGAAGCTGGGCTGGAGGGTGAAGGAGAGACAAAAGGACAGGAAAGGGTAAGGGTAAAAAGAATACAGCCTAAAGGCCCAACAGCACTTCATTTAAAGTTAATAGCACTTAATAGCATTTAAGTTAACAGCATTTAAACTTAACAGCACATAAATTTAACAGCATTTAACTTAACCGATAACTGAAGCTTAACAATTCAGCAAAGAATTCATATAGAATTTACTGTGCCACAACAGTAACTTACTTACAAATCTAAAGTACTTAAGAATCTAGGAGAGCAGCATTCCTAGTACATTTGATATACCATATGCACATTTGCATGCATACAGACATGAAGAGTCTGTACAAGGTACCTGCGAAAAATTCCCCTCAAATTCAGTGAAATGCTCACTTTGGATGCCATTGCATATTCTCAGTGGGCAAAGGGTTGAGCCTCAAGGAGTGGACGGTAGCAGCTCAGGATCTGTCATTGTCATTTGGTGATCCATGTGTAGCAAAGTTGGGAATGTGCTGCCTCTGAGAGGCCCCACTCAGAGGGAGATGCTGGTCACAGCTGCT